AGAGAGAGAGAGAGAGAGAGAGAGAGAGAGAGAGAGAGAGAGAGAGAGAGAGAGAGAGAGAGAGACTTGTGTAGACTTTGTCTCCTAAAATGAAAGCAGCCTATTTCTAATTCTTATTTCTAATAGTTTCTCTATTAGAAATATTATGCTCAGACCCTGATTCTTACCATTTTGCGTTCCAAAACCGTTCGATTTCGTAACTTACTCTGGTTTACTCGTTACCCCCACTTCCCTAGGTTTTTTAGAGTTGACGGAGTAAAATTTTGGGACGCAGCTTAGCCCGCTGCGGCAGCAAAACGTCACGTGACTCAAATTTTCTAGGACTGCTTTTGTTAGGTATATTTGCTGCTCTTACCTAACCCTCATTCGATGTTATTCTTTGTTGTTGATGAAATTATATAGTTATTGCATAAGTATCAACAATAAAATTTTTCTGGTTTTGCTGCTTTTTGTTTGTTTGAATTTTGCAGGTAATGGCATCGAGTGAGGGTTAGGTAAGAGCAGTAAATATACCTAGCGGAAGCAGTCCTAGAAAATTTGAGTCACATGACGTTTTGCTGCCGCAACGTGCTGCTGTATGAAAAGGTACCTTAATGCTCAACTATTTTGTGGTTATATGCATTTAAGGTTACATTGCTAAAATTTATTGTCTCTGTATTAATTTCTTAGTTTAATTTCTTTTGCAAACTGTCTTGCTTATTGTAACAATGAGATTTTTAGCAAAGAGAAACCTGAGAGCGGCCATCCTATTGTAATTTTTTTACGACGGTTTCAGCCGCTGGATTTAACGCCATATCCATTAAAAGTGGATCTCAAAGACCGTTCTACATTAAACGCAAGTAGCAGATCTCGTGGAATTGACCAATCGTGGAATCAAATCAGCCAAGCGACCAACGTGATTGATCAGTTCCACGAGACCTGCTACTTGCGTTTAATGTGGAACGGACTTTGAGATCCACTTTTGTGGATATGACGCTAAAACCAGCGGCTGAAACCGTCGTAAAAAATTACAATAGGATGGCCGCTCTCAGTCTTC